TCCTTAAGTTGATACTAATATAAATGAGTGAATAAATTAACAAATGAAGAATTGACAAATATCCTAGGCAGCAGAATTCCAGATTATTTATGTAGATACTTTGCCCTAAAGAAAGTGGAGCATAACTCCCCACTCCTTAAGTGTGAGCTGCACTCAGTGACTTCCTTCCAAAGAGGAAAAGGGAGAGGGACAAATACCCTGGCAGTGGAGAAATCTGACAAACACGAACTCAGCCAGGTGATCGAGGTCAACAGTGACTAATTATGTAGACAGGATGTACCCCTGACATGATGTGATGAAAATGGCATTTTACTTCTAGGGTCTTCTGCCCCAAAACCCATAAACCCAGTCTAACCATGAGAAAAACAGTAGGCAAATCTCAATTGAGGGAAAATATACAAACTACCTAACCAGCACTCTTCAAATCTATCAAGTTTTATCAAAAACTTGATGAGAAAAGCCTAAGAAACTGACAAAGCTGAGAGAAGTCTAAGGAGACGTGGCAACTAATTATGATGTGGTATCCTGGACGGGATTCTGGAACAGAAAAATGTCATGAGGAAACACTACAGAAATCTGAATAAAACATGGACTTTAGTTAATAATAACACATCATCACTAGTTCATTAATTGTAACAAATGAACCACACTAATGTAAGATGTTAATAAGAGAAGGAACAGGCAAGAGGTACATCCGGGTACTCCCTATTACTGTTTAATTTGTCAGTAAATCTAAAACTGTTCCTAAAAAGTTTTTTTTTTAAAGACAGAACAGTTACATATTTCTTTTCCTTTATTCTCTTAACTGATTTAAAAAGCAATTGCAGGGGCGCCTGGGTGGCTCAGTCGTTAAGAGTCCTGGGATCTGCCCGCATCGGGCTCCCAGCTCCGCGGGAGGCCTCTTCTCCCTCTCCCACTCCCCCTGCTTGTGTTCCCTCTCTACCTGTCTCTCTCTGTCAAATAAATAAACAAAATCTTAAAAAAAAAAAATTAAAAGCAATTGCATACGGGTGCCTGGCTGGCTGGCTCAGTCAGTGGAGCATGCGACTCTTGATCTTGGGGTTGTGAGTTTAAGCCCCACGATGGGCACAGAGATTACTTAAAAATAAAATCTTTAGGGGAGGCTGGGTAGCTCAGTCGACGAGCATCCAACTCTTGATTTTAGCTCAGGTCATGATCTCAGGGTTGTAGGACAGAGTGGCCCCCCCCCAATGTGGCTCCACCCTCAGCGTGGAGTCTGCTTATCCCTCTCCATCCCTCTTTGACCCTCCCCACCCCCTCGCTTGGCTTGCACTCACATGGCACTCTCTCTCTAATAAATAAACTAATTTATTAAATTAATTAAATTAATAAAATCTTCAAAATAAAAAGCAACTGCATAAAACAATATCTATAACATTGTATTGTTGACCTATAACATATAGAATTCCCTGAGAAGACATAACAATCCTAAATGTCTACATACCTAACCACAGTGCCTCAAAATACACTAAGCAAAAACCGATAGAACTGAAAGAAGACATGGACAAATCCACACTTCCACTTGGAGACTTCAATTCTCCTCTATGATCAATACAAGTAGAAAGTCAAGATGAATATGAAGGACTGAAAAACACCATCAGCCAACTAGATCTAATTGATACTTATTGAAAGTCCCACCCGATAATGGCAAAATACAAATTCTTTCCAAGTGCACATGAAGCATGCATCACCAAGTTCAGCAGAATGATGTGGCTGCAGAAGGACACCAACTCTATTTAGCTATGTTTTATTTATTAGACTGGGTTCTGGGCACCCTGTATTATTCTTTACACTTTATAGGTCCTATCTCGTAATAAAATGTTAAGTCATTTACTTGGAGTATATTCTCTGATAAATCTTTTCTTTAGAGGGTGGGGGGTTGGGGAGGCAGGACTCCATATGTTTTAATATTGAAATGGAGTATATCAAATACCATAAGCTCTGTATTTTTATCCAAATGTACACAAACTCTCGCAAACTCCAAATTTGATATAATATTTATTACTTCAATCTTTAGCAATGTCTTCTATGAGTATCCCAACAAAGAATGCATTTTAGTCACCAAACTAAAGTTATTAATTTGTCTATATGGCATTTCAGCCACTTTTACCAAAACAGGGAGAGCAAAGGTTTATGGCTTTTTATCTTTTACCCCTAAAGTAAAAAATCTCCAAAGAATCTTCTAAAAACGTATCACTAACTTAATAATTTTTAATGTACTAGATTAATTAGCTCATGACTATAATCATCACTGAAAATTTTCAGTAAGTTTGTCTTCATATACCAAATGCTTAGTTTTAAAATATCTCAACTGATAACAGTAGCCTCATACTATCATTAGTATCTTAAGATCCAATATACTCAACAGTGCATAGAAACCCATATATCAAATAATATTTAACAGTTTTTTACAGATTCCTCTTCAATCCACTTAGATCATTATTATTTTATACTTTGCATTAGACTGACAAGCTTATAATATAAATAAAAGTATCATCTCTGTGTTTTTCTTGTTGTTCCTGTGTCCTTGCATTATTACTTCAATCTTCAGCTGAATCTGAAACTTCAACCTGCAATTTCTTTGCAGGAATCCTTTAAGGCCTTTGTCTATTTAACAAGGTTCATCTAACTAAAATCAGATAATATGATCTGAAAGACCACTAAGCCAGGCAGAGATGAACTTTAATATGTCCAAACAGAATGTAAGCCAACAAGTAAGGAGGCTCACATGACGGGCCCCTCCAGGCTGTGGTGTCCCCAGTATCCCCCCTCAGGTTACTTAGCTTACCAAACCCGATGTGTATCACCAGACATAGAGATGGACTAAAGTGTCAACCTATGGACAAAATATTAGTAAAAGTTAATTGCCCATATTTTGTTATACCCTACCTACAGGATCATTTTGCATGCATCTCCCACTCTAGAAAACACTGCTCTTTAAAAAAAACATTGTTTTTAATTAAAAATTAAAAAAAAAAAAACCCTAGAATGAGAAAATGGGACTGTGCTAGGTTTGAGGAACAAATGAGTAACATGGGTGGCAGAATTAGATGAGGAAATTTAGAGCCTATGTGGTAAGTTAACTTGGCCTAAGGTTACAAAGTTGGTAATTCGTGGAGTTAGGCAACCAACCCATTTGACTCTAAAGCCTACTCTCCTTCTGCTGCACCACATCGCCCCCTCCAGGGCAAACATGAGGAGTGAGGAAAATACAGGTCCACAAGACGTGGTGCTGGTTTAGACTTCATGTTGCAGTTAAATGAAGTCTGGAGACTAGTGCAAAAAACGTCTGGACCCTTGTTAGTCCTATCTAGAAAGCAATATGCTCCAGAGTTGGACTAAGTCTGCAAGCAGGAAAGACTAAAGGAAAAGACTATTGGAAAGAGAACAGGCTCTAGAAATGTTTCCAGAATTATCTCTGTATTACACCTATGTGTTAAATATCCTTCATCTCCCTTGAATCTTTTTATTAATGTCTTAACCCTTCCAGCTCTCAGTTACTTCAAAGCATCCATGTAATAAAACTTCTTGAGCAAATTCACTGTCTCCCAGCAAAACTCCTATCAGTTTTTCTCTGGATGCCCATTTATTTAAGAAGTCAGAGATAAGGGGCGCCTGGGTGGCTCAGTCATTGAGTGTCTGCCTTCTGCCCAGGTCATGATCCCAGGGTCTTGGGATCGAGCCCCACGTCAGGCTCCCTGCCCCTCAGGAAGCCTGCTTCTCCGTCTCCCACTGCTTGTATTCCCTCTCTCGTGGTCTCTCTCTGTGTGTCAAACAAATAAATAAAATCTTAAAAAAAAAAAAGGGGGTGCCTGGGTAGCTCAGTCGATAAGAGTCTGCCTTCCACTCATGATCCCAGGGTCCTGGAATTGAGCCCCGCATCAGGCTCCCTGCTTCTCCCTCTCCCACTCCCCTGCTTGTGTTCCCTGTCTCCCTGTCTCTTTCTCTGTCAAATAAATAAATAAAATCTTTTAAAAAATTAAAAAAAAAAAGAAGTCAGAGATAAGAGAGATTGTCACTAATCAGTACTTAGTGTAACTAGTCAAACTTCCCTGAAAGAGAACTAACTTCCTTACTTATTTCAGGAAAATTCTCAACTATCCTTCCTCTACCACTTCTTCTTTTCTCTTCTCCTTTAGATTAAAAAAAAAAAAAAAAAAGCCAGGGAAAGTAAATGTTTGTGAAACCCTAAGATTTTCTTTTTTACAAATCTGAAAAAGTTCTCTAGGTTCCAATAAAAAAATATTTAAAACTTCACTCCACTACTACAAAGAGCTCTGAATAGCTAATATAATAACCTCATAGGGCTGTGGTAACTATTAATAAATTATGTAAAGCATTTAGCACAATGCCTGGCACAAAATAAGAGCCTAATAAATATTAACTCCTAATATTATTATCATTATTATTGATGTTATTGTGTAACTACCCTCTTGGATGATGCATAGACTAGAATCCTATAGGCAAGACTCTTTCCTAACTTACAATTCTTCTGATTTATTTAAAGGTATAGAAATATTAGGGCGCCAGGGGCACCTGGGTGGCTCAGTTGTTAAGCATCTGCCTTCGGCTCAGGTCATGATCCCAGGGTACTGGGATCGAGCCCCGCATCGGGCTCCCTGCTTGGCGGGGAGTGCTTCTCCCTCTCCCACTCCCCCTGCTTGTGTTCCCTCTCTCGCTATGTCTCTCTCTGTCAAATAAATAAATAAAATCTTTAAAAAAAAAAGAAAAGAGGGGCGCCTGGGTGGCTCAGTTGGTTAAGCGACTGCCTTCGGCTCAGGTCATAATCCCGGAGTCCTGGGATCGAGTCCCACATCGGGAATCCCGGCTCAGCGGGGAGCCTGCTTCTCCCTCTGACCCTCTCCCCTCTCATGCTGTTTCTCTCTCTCTCTCTCTCTCTCTCTCTCTCTCAAATAAATAAATAAATAAATCTTTAAAAAAAAAAAAAAGAAAGAAAGAAAGAAAAAGTCTCGGGGTACCTGGGTGGCTCAGTCGTTAAGCGTCTGCCTTCAGCTCAGGTCATGATCCCAGGGTCCCAGGATCGAGCCCCACGTCCGGCTCCCTGCTCAGCGGGGAGTCTGCTTCTCCCTCTCCCACTCCCTCTGCTTGTGTTCCCTCTCTTGCTGTCTCTCTCTCTGTCAAATAAATAAATAAATAAAATCTTGAAAAAAAAAAAAAAGAAAAAGTCTCTTAAGGAAAACATACTGGAGACACAAAGTGGTCCTATCACCATGCTCAGGAATCACGTCGGTAAGCCAAAACACAAAACTCAAATTGAACTGGAACGACAGTCTTCTTTAAAGACAGCATGTAGAAAGGACTCTGAAGTCTGCCCCGGGGTTCAAATACTAGCAGGGTCACTGATTAGCTGTATGGCCCCCTAAAGAAGTTTTAACTTCTCTGAGCTCAGTTTCCTCACCCATATACTCGAGATATCATACCTAGCTTCCAAACTTATAAAGATTAAAGAATAGTCCTTATCTATGAAAAGCACCTGATACACTATAGCCTCACAATAAATAATATTATTACTCACAGAAGAAAGTCTCTCTCTGGCAAGAGGAGACAGAGCAGAGAGAAAAGTTAAAAGGAGGGAGTAAAGAGTCTACAAAAAGAAGCCAGGAAGAAGTGGGAATGGTTAGGGGCTGAACAAATCCTTGAAGAGTCCCAGAAGTTACCCAAAAAATTGTTGTTGTTGTTTTTAAAAAATTTTATTTATTTATTTGACAGAGAGAGATGCAGCGAGAGAGGGAACACAAGCAGGGGGAGTGGGAGAGCGAGAAGCAGGCTTCCCACGGAGCAGGGAGCCTGACGCGGGGCTCGATCCCAGAACCCTGGGATCATGACCTGAGCCGAAGGCAGACACTTAACAACTGAGCCACCCAGGTGCCCCCCAAAAATTGTTTTAACTGAGGACTATTTTATTATAGTGAAGCTTAGTTACAAGAATATTTAGCCCAGACCTGATTATTATAGCATTTTAGTTCTGTATTAGCTTATTTATAATGTTAATACACAAAAATTCAAGATCAAAGTTGAGTTTTCTAAAGATTCATTTTTTGTTAAAAAATGCATTATCAAGTAAATCATATACAATATATGTTTCTCTCAGTTATCTGCAACTCAAAAAGTTGTCTGTCCTGCTCTTAACATATTAAAGAGAAAACAATGATAATTTCAACAAATGCCAAAAAAAAAAAAATTCAACACCCAATAAAAATATAAACCAGGGGCGCCTGGGTGGCTTAGTTGGTTAAGTGTCTGCCTTCGGCTCAGGTCATGATCCCAGGGTCCTGGGATGGAGCCCCGCATCAGGCTCCCTGCTCAGTGGGGAGTCTGCTTCTGCCCCTGCTCATGTGCTCTCTCTCTCTCGCTCACTCTCTCTCTCAAATAAATAAATAAAAGCTTAAAAAAAAAAAAAAACATGCACACACAAGCCAGGACGCCTGGCTGGCTCGGTCAAGAAACATACAACTCTTGATCTTGGGGTTGTGAGTTCAAGCCCCACGGGGGTGCAGAGATTACTTAAATAAATAAAACAAAAAAATAATACAAACCAAGAACAGATGAAAACTTCCATAAACTGACAAAAGAAATCTACCAGAAACTTTCAGTAAGATTCATATCTAATAGTGAAACACCGGAAGCATTCTCATTCAGGAAAAAGATAAAAATGCCCATTATCATCACTGCTATTCAACTTTTGTACTGGAGGGTCTAGGCATTGCAATAACGGAAACAACAAAATAAGTGGTGTGGAGATTAGAAAGAAGCCTGGTCAGTTAGATCTTCTAATCAAAGTAGCCCAGTAAGTAAACACTTTGATGCATCCCCTCCACTCCAAATACACAGCAACAGATAAAATATTTTTTAAATATATTTTTAAATAACTTGGGGTGCCTGGCTGGCTCAGTCGCTAGAGCATGTGACTCTTGATCTCAGGATTGTTAGGTTCAAGCTCCACATTGGGTATAGAGATGACTTAAAAATAAAATCTTAAAAATAAATATATAGGGGCGCCTGGGTGGCTCAGTTGGTTAAGCGACTGCCTTCGGCTCAGGTCATGATCCTGGAGTCCCAGGATCGAGTCCCGCATCGGGCTCCCTGCTCGGCGAGGAGCCTGCTTCTCCCTCTAACCCTCCCCCCTCTCATGTACTCTCTCTCTCTCTCTCATTCTCGCTCTCTCAAATAAATAAATAAATCTTTAAAAAATAAAATAAAATAAAAAATAAATAAATATATATATATATTTTTTTTTTCTTTTTAATGACTTAGGCAGGCTCAAAAACAAGATAAAACTCCATTTGGATCAGAAACAAAGCAGATACACAAAAATGTAAGCAGGACTGAAGCTACAGGCTTGCTAGACGCTGAGTCCAGAAGCAGGTGCGTACCTTCTGCAGGGTGACAGTGACAAAATAAAGGAGGTGGAGAAACAGGAGACATCTGAACCAGACTCACTGCTTAAAGCCAAGGATGAAGCTGGAGCTGAACGGAAGCTACAAAATACTGCTGCCAGTCTCTGCCTAGAGCTACGGTTTATGTAATGCTTTAGGCCTAGAAAAGCGGGAAGATAAAAACACAGCCTCATGACCAGGAACCGAGCCAAGACATTCACATACTCTGTGAATCGATCTAAAATAGACCCAATTATCTCAAAGAGTAGGACCCCCTGACCCACCATTATTATACCTGACTTCTTGACTATTGTCCAAAAAGTCAATGGGAACACCTGAAATATCTCACAGAGAAGGGTGAGCACAGAAATAAGGAAAACAAAATCAAAAGCACTCAACACTCGAATGAGTCTGTAAACAAAACTTCAAAAGACATAAAGAAATATAATGCTAAGATGGCCAACAAAAGCAACAATTAGAATAAGAATTCATTCCAGATGAAGTTTAATTTTAGAGAACAGTCTGACAAAGACTTATTTTTTAAGTACATTTAGGGTGCAAGGATATACATTTCTTACTTAATGGGAATGCAAAATTGTACAGCCACTTCGGAAGGCAGTTAGGCAGTTTCTTATAAAGCTAAACTCTTACCATGCAATCCAGCCAAAAATGCTCCTATGTATTTACTGAAAAGAGTTGAAAACCTGTATCCAAACAAAAACCTGAACATGAATATTTAGACATTTCACTCATAATTTCCCAAAACTGGAAGTAACCAAGATGTCCTTCAATAGGTGAATGGATAAACAAACTGGTACTGGAATACCAGTTAAATAAATATTATTTATTTAACAATTTATTTAACAATAAAAAGAAATAAGTTACCCCGATGTTTACAGCAGCATTATCAATAATAGCCAAACTATGGAAAGAGCCCAAATGTCCATCGACTGATGAATGGATAAAGATGTGGTATATATATTGGAATACCACTCAACCATCAAAAAGAATGAAATCTTGCCATTTGCAATGACATGGATGGAGTTAGAGTGTATTATGCTAAGCAAAATAAATCAGAGAAAGACAAGTACCAAATGATTTCACTCATGTGGAATTTAAGAAACAAAATGGATGAACATACGGGGGGGCGGGGAAAAGAGAGAGAGGGAAACAAATCATGAGATACTCTTAACTACAGAGAACAAACTGAGGGTTGATGGAGGGAGGTGTGTGGGGGATGGGAAAGAGGTGGCATGGGTATTAGGGAGGGCACTTGCCATGATGAGCACTGGGTGCTCTATGTAAGTGATGAACCACTGAACTCCTGAACCCAATATTGAACTGTATGTTAACTAGAATTTAAAAGAAGAAACAAACAAACAAACAATCAAGCCAAGAAAAGACATAGAGGAACTTTAAATGCATATTACTAAGTGAAAGAGAACAGTCTGAAAGACTACAATACTGTATGATTTCCAACCATATGTCATTCTGGAAAAGGCAAAACTATAGACACAGTAAAATAATCAGTAGTTATCAGGAGCTCAGGAGGAGGGAGGAAGGAATGCGTAGATGGAACACGGGATTTTCAGGGCAATGAAATTATTCTGACAATAGTGCAATAACATTACATGAAATGTCATGTGCTGACATTAATGATGCATGACACTTTGCATTTGTCAAAATCCACAAAACACAAAGGACACAAAGAGAAGCCTAATAGATACTATGAACTTAAATTAATAATAATGTATCAACATTGATTCATCAGTTATAACAAAGGTACTACACTAAAACAAGATGTTAATAACAGGAGAAACTGCAGGTGGAGAAGAAGGGGTATATACTCTCTACTATCTACCCATTTTGGTCATATTCAGTCATGTACATAATTTTTTTTTAAATATCATGGACAGGGGCGCCTGGGTGGTTCAGTGGGTTGGGCGTCTGCCTTCGGCTTGGGTCATGATCCCGGGCTCCCTGCTCGGTGGGGAGTCTGCTTCTCCCTCTCCTGCTCCCCCTGCTTGTGCTCTCTCTCTCTCTGAAATAAATAAACAAAAACCTTTAAAAAAAAAATATCATGGATAGGTCCACTTCTGTGTATATACACAAAAGAACTGAAAACAGGGACTTGAACACCATATTCATAACAGCATTATTCACAATAGGCAAAAGGTAGAAACAATCTGTGTCCACTGATAGATGAATAAATAAACAAATGTGTATATACATAAAATGGAAGAGTATTTAGCCTTAAAAAAGAAAGGAAATCCCGACACATGCTACAATATAAATGAACTCCAAAGACATGCTAAGTGAAATAGCCAGACAAAAGGACAAATATTGTATGATTCCACTTATATGAGGTACCTGGAGTAGTCACATTCATAGAGACAGAAAGTAGAATGGTGGTTGCCAGGGGCTGAAGAGAGGTGAAAATAAGGAATTGGTGTTTAGTGGGTACAGAGTTTCAGGTGGGGAAGATGAAAAAGTTCTGGAGATAGACAGTGGTGATGGTTACACAACAATATGAAGGTACTTAATACCACAAATGTACACTTACAAATGGCTAAAATGGTCAACTGTATTTCATGTATATTTTACAATTGAAAAAAATGAGAAAAGGTGCTGAAAAACTGGTTATCTGAAGTGGAAAAAAAAGTCCTCTTCATTATCGAATTGGGGGGAAAAAAAAGTCTCTCTTCATTACACCACATCGAAATTCCACATGGAAAGCAAAACTTTTTGGGGGGCGCCTGGGTGGCTCAGTCATTAAGCGTCTGCCTTCAGCTCAGGTCATGATCCCGGAGTCCTGGGATCAAGCCCCCACACTGGGCTCCCTGCTCCTTGGGAAGCCTGCTTCTTCCTCTCCCACTCCCCCTGCTTGTGTTCCCTCTCTCGTTGTATCTCTCACTGTCAAATAAATAAAATCTTAAAAAAAAAAAAAAAAAAAGAAAGCAAAACATTTTTTAATTTAAAATTTTTTAAGTTTTATTTATTTAAGCCATATCTACACCCAATGCGGTACTCAAACTCAGAACCCCAGATCAAGAGTGGCACACTCTTTCAACTGAGCCAGCCAAGCACCCCTTTTTTCATTTTGGAAGAAAATACAGAAATACATCATTCATACGCTGGGGTAGAGAAAATTTACTTGAACCAGACACACACAGGGGCACCTGGTTGGCTCAGTTGGTTAAGCATCTGACTTCGGCTCAGGACATGATCTTGGGATCCTGGCACTGAGTCCCATGTCAGGCTACCTGCTCAGCGGGGAGTCAGCTTGTCCTTGTCCATCTCCCTCTCCCTCTGCCCCAGCTCCTGCTTGCTCTCTCTCTCTCAAACAAATAAATCTTTAAAACAGAAACAAAAGCAAAAAACTACACTCAACACAACCTTTTTTTTAAGGGAAATTTTTCATAAATACACATTAAAATTTTAAACTTGCATACAAAGACACTGCTAACCAAGGGAAAGGCAAGCCTCAACTAGCAGGATGCATCTGCAACACATATATCCATCAAAGAATTAGCATCTAAAGTAACACAACTGTCTGTCCCTCAGTGAATGAAGAATGAAAAAGGTGATTTAAGTCTACACAATTGAACATTACCTAGTATTAAAAAAAAAAAAATGAACCAGATCAAGTTCCATGGTTAATCTCCCTGAATTAAAATTTAAAATGTGCACCCCCTTTGCAATTCTACTTCTTTCATTCACTGCAGCAATGTCTGAAACAGCAAAGAGCTTAAATGGCCCTTAATGAGGAAACGGTTAAATAAACTATAGTACAATACACATACCACATAAGAGATCATGTAGGAGTCAAGAAAAATCAGGTAGATACCTATGTTCCAACATGGAAAGATCTCAGACATTTTGCTAGGGGGGAAAAAAATGTTGCAGAACAATGTACAGTATCATGTTAATAACTTAGGGGTGGAGGGAAATTCTGTCTTTTTTCAGTATTAGCTATACATAGATGAAAATGCAAAGGTCTGGAAGGATAACAACAAACTGATAACTGCAATTTCAGTAGAAAAGGGAGTGGACCAAGGGGGCTTTTATTCAGTCTGTACTATTTGAGTATTTTGTAAGTGTGTGTACAAGAGCCATTTGCAGAGCTGCAGTACATAGCCCCACAGACTGTGCATGAGACAACCCCAGGAGGTACATCTGCAGGGAATCTGCTAGGAATGGCACCCCCTAAAGGTGGGCGATATACATCCTGCACAACTAGACACCACAGCCCTGATGCTTGTATAACTAGAAGTAAATGAGAGGGGATGGAGTATAAATCAGCATGAGGGAATTTTCTGGGATGATGTAAATTTCTTTTTTTTTTTTTTAAGATTTTATTTATTTATTTGACAGAGAGAGACACAGCGAGAGAGGGAACACAAGCAGGGGGAGTGGGAGAGGGAGAATTAGGCTTCCCGCTGAGCAGGTAGCCCAATGTGGGGCTCGATCCCAGGACCCTGGGACCATGACCTGAGCCGAAGGCAGACGCTTAACGACTGAGCCACCCAGGCACCCCAAAATTTCTACATCCTGATTGGGATAGTGGTTACAAAGTATATATATTTTTCAAAACTCATCCAACTGTACACAGACATTTGGGTATTTTATTGTATGTCAATTGCACATCCATAAAGTTGATTTTAAAAGAAATATAAACATACGGATATATTATAATATCACTGGGAGAACCTGGAATAAGGCACCCAAAATAACAGGACTAGGGTACCCCAAAACAAGAACTGATGGACTCCTGCTGGTTATACTCTGAAACGAAAGAGATATGAACTTAGTTCTTCAAGGCTTACAGCACGAGACCAAATCTGGATTAATATTACCCTTGTTTTTTGGGTGCCTGGGTGGCTCAGTTGGTTAAGCGACTGCCTTCGGCTCAGGTCATCCTGCATTGGGCTCCCTGCTTGGCGGGGAGTCTGCTTCTCCCTCTGACCTTACCCCCTCTTGTGCTCTCTCTCTCTCACTCTCTCTCTCAAATAAATAAATAAAATCTTTAAAATATATATATATATTACCCTTGTTTTTTATACGTGGGCACGAGGGCCCTTAAAAGATTTCTATTAAAGTCATAAAATAAAAAAAGAAGAAAAAAGTCATAAAATAAAAGGTAACTTGGCATTCTATTGGTTTTAGTAGAAAATCTGTCTCATGGGTAGGGAACACTCAAAAACCTTGCTAGCACAACTTCAGCTACGTCACCCTCTCCAAAGGTAATTCCACTTACGTATGATAAAAATCCTCATAGAACTCATAAAAGGTCAAGTTTTAATTTGGCAGACAAAGTAATCCAACAGGCACTGCAACCCCGGGCACTGAAACAGCAGCTGGGAGCTGGAGAGCCCAGAAATCCAACCATGGCAGACAACAGGTAGAATTGCAGCCCTTACAGAAGAGCAGAGAGAGTCTCTTACTGCAGATGGAAGATCCAAGAACCAGGATAAAAGAGAAAAAAAATGTTGCCTAGACAAAAGTACTCTTCTTCCTGAGCGATAGAAAAGAGAAGGGCCAGAATTGGATGATTTGAAGCAATGTCCCAAGAAGTAAGCTCCTGATGGCCAATATGCAATAAAGAAGTGGCAGGGTGGCCCCCAAACATCACCACTCCATCACCCTGGCCATTGCTTTAAATTCCCAGACCTAGAAACCTGGGCTACCTCACAAGACAAGAAAAAAAAAAGAAGAAGAAGAAAGGGAGAAGAAAAGAAAGAATATTTCAGGAACAGAGGAAGTCCATCAGCCATCCCTAATACCAAAATAATTAACACTGCTGCGTGTAAAATACAGCAAAACCTTGCTTGGTTCATTCATTCATGCAGTACTATTTTTTGCCTGACTGCTGTGGGCCAGGCACTGTTCTTGTCCTTGAGGATTTAGCAGTGATAGTCACCGAGCTTAATTCGAGGAGGGAAGGAAGGGAACTTCCCTTCTCCCCCTTTAAATGTTAGGCAGAACTGCCTTCAAAACTCTCCCAAATTTCCCCCACAAGCTCCTCTGACTCTTCTGCTTTATCCCCAAACCAAGCAATTTATGGCTCCAATTTCCCAACACTGGGAAAAGACCTAAAGTGAAGTATGAGGCGAAATTCAATGCCACTTTGTATTCTACACGCATACCTTCACTACCAAATTGTCAGCACCTAAATAGCAAATTACGGTGTGTTTTACACTATTTTGTGGCCCCGGTGCTGACCACGGTTCTCTAACCCAAGGTAGCTAATCAATAAACGTCTGCTAGAAATGCTGGAAGGTCTTCCTAATCCCAAGGCCTGGCACAGGAATTTAACAGCAAGCATTTGTTAGCTCCATCCTCCCTCCTCGCAGGACACCTTCCTTTCAAAGGTGACCTCGGTGCACAGGTTCACTGTTAGGAGCCTCGGCAAACAGTGTTTGGGGGTGATCTGAAATACATTCCCTTCCCTCTGCCAGGGCCTAACGGCCTCACCTGCCCTCTGCCAGGACCTGCCTCCTTCGCCCCTTACAGCACCTAACGCACAGCCTCCTCCCAGCGAGCCGGGCTTCAGCAGCATCAGCCCGGCGCCCGCACCCCGGCCCGGCGCCCTGCGGCCACGGTGCGCTCGGGACCCCGGAGACCCCCCTCCCCGGCCCGGCACTCAGAGCCCGGCAGCGCCGGCCCGGGGCTCCGCTCCATCCCCTCCGCTCGCCCCTCCAGGGCCGGGCGCGCGGCACCGTCTCCCCTCGCAGCGCGCGCGGTGCAGCGGCCCCGGCTCCCGGAGCCCCGTCCCCGCCGCTCCCGGCCCTGCACCCCCGCAGGCTCCCAAGGTCCCGGCGCTGCGCGGGCTCCTTCCCGCTCCTCGCGGGCGCGAGGCTCCAGCACCCAGCTCCTCTCCTGCAGCCCGCGGCCGCCGCCGCGAACCCCCACCTCTCTCACTTCCCGGCCGGAGCTGGGGACCTCGAGAAGGTCTCGGGCGGCCGCAGCCTCCTCCGCGTCCTCCGGCCCGGCCCCGGCGGCTGAGGTGGCGGCGGCACCCGCTCAGGCCCCGGAGCCGCCCCCGCGGGGAACGTTCTCAGGCGCCCGGCTCGCGCAGTTTCCCCGCCCGGCACGCGCAGCAAGCCCGCCCCCGGCGCCAGGGCGCGAGGGCGCGAGGGCGCAGGGCGGGGGGCGGGCACGCGCCGCCTGCGCGAGCGCGCGGCCGGGGGCGGGGCTTCCGCCGCGCGGAGGAGGGGGCGGGCAAGCGGGCCGAGTTCCCGCTGAACCCCGCCCCCTGCGGCCGAGCAGGACCCGGGCCCCCCCGCACCAGCTCCCCGGCCGGCGTGCGGACGCGCGGGGGAAACCTGCCCCCTTGGGGCTGGTCCCGCACGCTGGCGGCTGGCGGCGGGCGGCGGGCGGCGGAGGTGCGTTTCAACTCCACAGGTATGTGCCGGGCAGCTGGATACTCGGCGCGCCGTGACTCTAAGGTAAAGAATGCAAAAAACCACCCTTGAATCATTCATCCGCGCCTCGAGCAAGAGATCTTGCCCGCCCTGAGGGATTTTTCCAAATTGATTCAACTCAGCGAGCGCTTACGGAGCACCGACTCCGCGCCTAGCGCTGTACCAGGTGCTGGGTAGGTACCCCGTCACGGTCACGGCCCCTGGTCTCGAGGTGCGCATAATTTAGTGCAAAAGCAGCCGTGTAAACAACCCGGCCTGGTGACCCATGCAAAGCCAAGCCACAAGGAGATGCTATGGGAGGGCAGAGGAGGAAGAGATTACTTCCGCCTGGACCGTGTGGAGGGGTTCCTGGAAGAGGTGGTATTTGTGTTGCGCCTGGAAGGAAGAAAAAGAAAGACGTTCTAGGAGAAAAAAAGGAGCGCATCCAGGCTAGGTAAACAGCCTGGACAAGGGAACTGAGGGGACCCAGGTTCACCATCTCAGCATCAGCTCTTTTGTTTTAATATTATCCATTTCTGATAGAATCCTTTCCAAACTGTGTGAAACACAGGAGATGATTCGAAATTAGGAACAGCTATGCTTTTTTTTTTTTTTTTTTTTTTTTGGTGATGGTTCAAAGGATCGTTTTTCTCGCCATTTCTTAAGGCCCAGATCAGCAGTCCTTTAAGGACAATTGCTGTGTGAGTGCGGGATGGAAGTCCCTAAGCGAAGAGCCCCCAAGCCAGTATGCTTTGCGTCTGGTTTTCACTGCTTTCTGGCACCTTATGGTAAGGCAGATCGCGCCTCCTCCTGCTGTCTGTCGGCCTGCCTGCCTTTAGAACATCCTCTTCCTCCTCCTCTCATTTTCCTATTTTTAAACTCCTATGGTGAAGAAAATGCTGGTAACCAACTTTGTTCAGTGAGGGTAAACAGGTTCCTCAAAAAAAGGACATCACCTTTCACACATGAATTTTGGGACTCTTTTGCACACTTAGAAGAATTTTTCACGTGTATGCAGGGTCTTGACTGTGTTCTGAATATGCTGAGATACTCAGAATACAGGCAAGAGACGTCTTGTTTATTCATTTACTACTTACTGAGCACCAACTATGTGGGAGGCTTTGAAAGGGTAAAACATTGATCCTACCCTTTGGAGAAAAGATGTGTAAATGAGATAAAATAAATATGTCCATATTGTTTGCTATATTTGCCCTATCGATTGAAACCGAGGTAATTTCAGTACGTGAGCTAGACTAGAATAAACTATTCTGGAAATTAAGTACACTTGTATTAGCATCTCTCCTGCGCCATTCTGTACCTCATCACTTCCCACACCCTCAGAAAACTCCTTTCAAACATATTTCGATCATGCCCCAGCTCTCACTCCCAAAATTATCAACCACTCGTACCTTTTCCTTCACCGTCTGCCATGTTCGAGCTTTTCTTGTCCTCAAGAAAAAGAAACACCTCTGTCCCTCTGCATTGTGTTCTAGGTACTGCTTGGTCCCTGTCAGTATTTTCCTTCACAAACATCCTGAAAGTAGTTTGCACTCCTCTCTGCCAACTCAGCAGCTTCTCCCTCATCAACCCACGGCCCTGTAACTTCTGTCGCCACCACGTCACTGCACCGCTCAGTCATTAAGGGCTTGCTTAATGCTAAATGCCACAGGCTGTTTTTGAGTCCTTGTATTACTGAGCTCCTGGTGGCATTTGACGACACAAAGCACCCTCCTCTTTTTGAAACTCCCTTGGCCTTCACGACATGACTCACCTCCTCACCCCTCTTGACCTCGCCTGAGTCTCCTGGGTTCTGTTCTCAGCTTTCATTTCACCCCACACCATCTCCCGATGCCATTCCATCCACTCCCTGTTTTCGTCTGCCACATACACCAGCATCTATCAAGTGAGTTATCTGGCTCAGACCACTCATCTGAGCTCCACAGACACAAAGCCTGCTGGACTTCTCCACCTGGATGCCCTACAGACACTACAAAGCTCTACGTGTCTAAAAGTCTTTAGCATTACTGTCCACTCAGTTGCCCAGTTCAGAAACCTGGGAGTCATCCTTGATTCCTTCCTTCCCATCCCCACCTCACTCAACAATCCTGTTGATGGTCTCATTCCTTCCATTCCGTATTCCATACTGCATGTCAGAAAAAACTTTCCAGAATGTGCTGCCTGTGTATGTCACTGCTCAGCATAGCACACAAGACCTTCCATTTATCTAGCCCTTGTCCATCTCCCCACTCCCTCTTTTGTCACTTCCCACACACATCCCAAGCAAACTCCTGCAATGTTCCTACTTTCCCTTGCTTCAATACCTTTGTGCTTATTTCTGTCTCAGTTTGGAATGTCATTTGAGTACAAGCAAAGAACGTCCAACATAGGTGCAGCTGAAGTTCCACATATAATGAAACTTTCTGGAAATAAGAAAATGTAAACCTATAATGAAAGAGCCCCAGTGTACTTGGGGAAATCATCACAAAATGATCAATTCTAAGAGCCAACCTCTTAAAACTATTAGACAAAAATAAGAATTTTTCAAAGCCTCAGTGCAAAAAGTTCAAATTACTTAAAAAGGTAAGGACATGGGGCTGCAGTACATTAAAGAAGTCTGCAAATTCTTTGTCCCTCCTTTTGATCCAGGCTGGCCCAAGTGAATTGCTTGACCAACAGAATGTGTGATGTATATGGGACTTCCAAGCCTAGGTCATAAAAGTCTTAAGAATCCACCGGGATCTTTGAGAACACTTGCTCTTGAAGTCCTGAGCCACAATATGGAATATCTAACCCCCGTGGGCACCTGGGTGACACAGTTGGTTAAGTGTCCGACTCTTCGTTTCGGCTCAGGTCTTGATCTCAGGGTCCTGGGATAGAGCCCCGCATCTGGTTCTGCGCTCAGCATGGAATCTGCTTGTGATTCTCTCTCCCCCCCCACCCCTCCCACTCATGCAGTCTCTCTCTCTAAAATAAAATAAGTAAATCTTTTTTAAAAAATCTAACTCCCTGTGGAGAGGCTCTGAGATGGCATAGAGAGGGAGAGAGGCTAGCTGGCCTTAGCCGATGTGAGTGAAGTCATCATGAATGCTCTATATCAGTTCATCCATCAGCTGGGTACCACTGAGTGACCCCAGTTGAAGCTATGTGGAACAGAAGAATAATCCAGCCAAACCCCACCCAAATTCCTGACCCCCAAAATTGTGAAATTATAATCAAAATAGCTCTCACCTTAAACCATTACTTTTCAAAGTAGATTGTTACGGAATCTGGTAACCAAAATATCTGGCATCAGACTTCTCAAGAGCAAAGCAAGGCAATAGTGATGCAGCATTTTCTAAAAACTCAAGCAAAGAAAATGCAAGCTAAGGGATTTTGTATCCACCCATCCACACTGTTTTTCAAGCATTGAACTCTATAGAAGAAAAATAAAAACAAACAGTCTTTTTAAAATGCAAGAACTCAAAGAATAATATGCATATAAGCCCATCCTAAGTATTTACTAAAGCAGGGGTCAGCACATTTTTTTCTAAAGCACCAGATAGTGAATGTTTGGGGTTTGCAGATCTAATATTCAACTCTGCCATTGAAGCAAAAAGCCTCCATAGATATATACAAAGAAGTGAGTGTGGCTTTGTCCCAAATAAACTGCATTTACAAAAACAGGCAGCCAGGGGCGCTGGGGTGGCTCAGTTGGTTAAGCGTCTGACTCTTGGTTTTGGTTCAGGTTCTGATTTCAGGGTGGAGAGATCAAGCCCCACATTGGGCTCCCTGCACAGCAGGGAGTCTGCTTCTCTCCCTCACCCTCTGCCCCTTCTCTCTCTAAAACAAATAAATAAAATCTTAAAAAAAAAAAAATAGGCAGCCAACTTGATTTGACCCATGAGTTGCAGTTTGTCACTCCTATACTAGAGGAAAAGAAATAGAGAAAGTTATTTCTCCCAAAAAAGCACAAGACCCATATGATTTAAGAAAATAACATACTGGGGCACCCGGGTGGCTGTCATTGGGTGTCTGCCTTCGGCTCAGATTATGATCCCAGGGTCCTGGATCGAGCCCCGCATGGAGCTCCCTGCTCCGCGGGAAGCCTGCTTCTCCCTCTCCGACTCCCCCTGCTTGTGTCCCTCTCTCGCTGTGTCTCTGTCAAATAAATTAAATTAAATTAAATTAAATTAAATTAAATTAAATTAAATTAAATTAAATTAAATTAAATTAAATTAAAAGAAAATAACATTCAGTTACCAAGTAGGGTTTTATATTAGTCTGCTAGACCTACCATAACAAAGTACCGCAGACTGACCTAAAGAATAGAAATTTATGGGACACCTGGGTGGCTTAGTCAGTTAAGCATCTGCCTTTGTCATGATCCCAGGGTCCTTGAATCAAGCCCCTCATAGGGCTCCCTGCTCAGCAGGGAGCCTGCTTCTCCCTCTGCCCTGCTGCTCCCCCTGCTTGTGTACTCGCTCTCTCTCTCTCTGACAAATAAATAAATAAAATCTTAAAAAAAAAAATAAAGAATAGAAATTTATTTCCTCACGGTTCTGGAGGCTAAAAGTCCAATATGAAAGTGCCAGAAGGATTGGTTTCTTCTGAGGCCTCTCTCCTTGGCTTTTAGATAGCCTTCTCCTCCCTGTGTCTTCACATGGTCTTCACTGAATACTGTGAGTGTCTGTCCTAGGGATACTAGTCATAGTGAAGTAGGGCCCACCCTAATGACCTCATTTTATTTTTTTTATTA